AAAAAAAAAAAAAAAAAAGATGCTGTGCTTTGTAACTAGATACATTTAAGACTATGATTTTTTTTTTAATTACAACATGTAGTTGTCCATGCAATTTTAATTTTAAAAAATCCTTTCTAAAAATGGAGTGAAATATTTCCAAGTTAAAATAAAATAATTTTGCTTCTGGTATCAGCGTTTGAGGAATAAGAATAAAACCTCTACTTGTATAAAAGTTAATATTTTTTTAAACATTCAAATTTTTAAACCAAATAAAAAAACTTTTACACTAAAATTTAAATATGTATATGCAGTGAAATTGACAAATTGTAAATAAATAACTCAAATTAAGAACTTATAGTAATAGTTGTAGCATATTTATGTCTAGCCAGTGGATTGTCTATTTTTAAAAACCGTATTGTGGTTCAGTTGAATGCATCATTCAGCAAATGCTTAAATCAAACTTTTCGCTATATACTAGAGTCTTGACGTCTTAAGTGTCTTTTGTCTTAAGGGCATCAGTTCAGGTGGTGGTCCTACAGAGCTACCTTATCTTGATGGAGTTAATTTCCAATAAAAGAACATGTCGAAGGCAAAGAAAGGTTGATATAGCCTGAAAGACTTTTTTTTAAATGTTACTTCACTTGTCTGTTCCAGCTACATGTTGCATTTTGTTATAAATCCAGATTTTAAATGCTCTTAAGCACTCACTCTTTATACCTAGCACAATGTGTATGCAATCTCTGCTATTGTGTGCTCCTGGCATGTATTTACACTGGTAGTATAAATACTGTAGATAGGAGGGAATTATTACTGTACACATCAAAGAGGATGGTCAGTTGTCAACACAGTTCAAGCCAGCATTTTTCTTCCAAAGCTTTCTTTAGGAAAAATGAACTTTTATTTCAAACACTAATCATTTCTTATATTTGCTTCTTTTATTTTATTTTCTTTCCATCTTTTTTCCCCTTTGCTGTTTTGTTTGTTTTTGTTCCTTTCCTCCATTCCCACTGCTTAAACTGTTACCTTTGCCCATCCAAAACCTTATTCATTGTCCATCCCTATGTCTGTTTAACAGATCTACAAAATGGAACAAAATACATGGAAAGCCATTCCTTTTTTCCAAAGGCAGTACTGATATAAAACAACCATCGTTGTATTTTAAGAATTATTCCAACGTGTCTTGTGCCTCACAAATATTCCTCATTTTAGGCTTAAAACCATTTGTGCACTGCACAAACTAGATAACCCCTTAATGCTGAATACTGTGTCCATAAGGATATTAAAGGAATTCTTTGGCATTACAGTTCCTACCCAAATAAGCTGTGTCCCTCGTAGAAGTTCTGTCACACATTTTATCTCTTAACCATGCCTTCTGCAGGTTGAGGAATCCTTCTTTGTTCTACCCCCACTAAGAACTTGTATTCACTTCAAGTAGCTAAGCAAAATAAATTGCACAAGAATGTCTGAATCTTCCTAGTAATACCCCTCACTTTTTTCTGTTCAGAAATAGCTTTCTAAAACAATATATCTTTAGCTTTTAATTGAACACATTCTCATTCCATGAAACAAATACAAATTGCGTAAGATTCCCAAAGAAATACAAACAGAACTATGTTCTCTTGTGTGCATTTTAAATCACTTCTCTGTTTTTTCTTTAAGTACCTGCTACAGCAGTCTCTTTTGGGTAGATGCTTCAGTTTCAACGAACCAATTGTCCCTGGAACCTTATATTATTATTTCATTTTACTTCCCAGAGCAATATGACTCCATGGTTTAGTATTCATGACTTATCGTTCATAATTTTTTGAGTAAAATTTTCACTCGAGGGTTTGTTCCCTAGTTTAAAAAGGGGGGAAATTGTATATCCTTAATGTTCTTGAAACGAGAAATTGACACAAGATGATGATGAACAGAGAGTACAGGGACATACCACTTAAAATCTTGTGTGTTTCAAATAACCAAACAATGGAGAATGGAGAAAAAAACAAGGTCCCTTCCTGTAGGTGAAGGGATAATTTGTGCGTATGGCAGTTCTTCGTTATTTAGTCGTACAGTGTAAATTTTTTATGAAGGCCCTTAGTCATAAGTGTGAGAATTTTGCCTTGAATTCTATAGTCAAATGAATTGGAATAGTATTTTTAAAATCTCAAACCCTCCTATCTACTGTGTAATGCTGTGTTAGTTCCGTTATATTTTTTAGTCTTACCTGTACATTCTAAAAGCGATAGATTTTTATTATATCAAATTTGAGCAAAAGTTCCTCAGATTGCACAAAATATCGTATCTTCTTTTCTTGCAGATAACTAGCACATACTAAAAGCTCTGAGATTCATTTTAAGAAGTTCAGTTTTTCTCAATGCTACAGTTGATTGCACTGTGCAGCACAGACAGCCATGTGAATTTACTGTCTTCATCCTCTGTAGAACAAATCCATTGCTGTTTTGGCCCTTGTAGAATAAATGCATTCTTGATATCTGTTATATAGAAAAGTGGTTTAGTGTAGTGTGTTCCTGTTGATCGATAGGTTATTTAGAGGATGGGCACAGTTTTAATAGACTTGGAAATAGCTTACTCTATTAGAAATTGACTTCCAATAATAGTTCACTAATGAATGCAACAGATTGCAAAAATAACATTTGTGGAAGCTTACTGATTAAGTGAGATGGGAATCGTATTTGTTACTTTTGAAATGTAAGAATGCTGACTTTACATGTAAAAAATAACATAGCTCCAGCAACTTGGTTGACTTAGTAAACAGAGACTCAACTAGTACAAGAACACTCTGGTTAATTAGTCTCCTCAGCACTACTGGTGTAAAGTTGGTTTGTATAGAGCCAGATTAATTGTGTATAATATTGTTATACTAACCAGATCCGTACTGCAGATGTCTTAGCAGTACAGGTCTGGCAAAGAAAGCTTGCTTGTGAGCACTTCAAATCTGTACAGTCTTAGGCTTGAGAAATCCTCTCTAAAATAGATGCACAAGGAACAGATCTGTTCTCACGCATTCGTAAAACTCATTAAGACTCATTAGTGTTAATGAAATATGGGCATTCATCAAGTGGATTCCCTCTCCAGCTGTTTGCTCATTCAATAATTGAACACTTTTTCTACTGTCTGTCACTTATTTGATAAACAACCTTTTCTTCAGGGTTTCCAGTCAAGCACTGATTAATATAGGTGTTCTATAATATGTAAAAAGTTGTTTTTGGTAAACAGGCAGGAGGAATTGCCTTAAGAAATAATCAAGCTTTTCATTATTATTGAATATGGAAAGGCTATAACAACATGTCAGGTGCAGGAGTAAAACTGAGACAAAAACATCTGACTATCAAGGATATTACTCTAATGGTGAGAAGCAAGAGTTTTACATAAGATTTTGTTCCTCTGCTACTTAGCTCTGCTGTCTGCTTCTTTCCCAGAGGCCTGAAGAAGGGTACTGAGAGAGGCTTACCCAAAACCTGGTATATCCCTACCAAGCTGGTTCAATAGAAGATATCACCTACAAAAATTGCCTCTTGCATATTTTCTGGACCATCACAGGTACAACATTATGTCAACATGTTCCCATCCCCCGCCCCGATCCATCCAGTATCGGGTCAGGCAGCTGACCACCATTTGTATGCAGGAACATCAACCCAATGTATTCATTAACGAGTTCAGCTTTCTCCTGACTTTATCAGCTGTCCCATTCTGCAAGGGCCCCACATTTCCCTTGGTCTTTCTGTTCTCTATATGCCTAAAGAAGGACTTCTTATTGTCCTAGACTTCGGTCACCAACCTGATCTCAGTCCCCACTCTCGTCAAAGGGCAATCGAAATATCTACAACCCAAGCATGAATCCAACTACAACTAGTCAAAACACTCACAGAGGGTGTCTCTGAGCTCCCACACCACCCAGAGTTTAGGCATCTGAGTCAGACCTGCAAGCAGGTACCTCCATCTACTTTCAATCCAGAGTCCCTCTAAAGTTTGGTGTCTACAAGTATTATTGGAAATGAACAGTTTGATAAGTGTGTATCATATATGTAATAAGCCAGTGGTTAGAGCATTTGCCCAGAAAGTGAGTCCTGGATTCTAAGCCTCAGCTTGAGGATATTCCGACTGCTATTTCCCACCTGCTAAGAGAGTGACTGCTGGGCTATAAACGAAGGTGAATGGGGAAATCTATTATTGGGGTACTGGGCAGAAAGGAATGCTAGATTTATAAAGCCATGTCTGTAGATTAGTGTTTAGGAATTTCACTTATGGAAGAGACCTCTTATTTTTGGTACGTGCTGCCAGATTTTTTTTTAACCAACAACCGTTTAGTGCAAAATGCATGCAATTCTGGAGCAACCACCTAGTTGAGACCTAGGCCTAGAGTCAGCTTCTTCATACTGTCCTTTTTGCCTGAAGAATCTTGAGGGTTTTTTCTACATAGTGGTACACCTTAAACAGCCTTTAGCCTGGTCTGGGGGGTCTCCTAGCAGGTAATCTTAACATCTTAAGTATCTTTTGACCATTGTACTAATATTAGTACAATATGGGGAGGAAAAACCGGCACCATACCTACAGGTTAGGGAACTCCCCCCTTGTCAGCACGGAGGTGGAAAAGGATCTTGGAGTCATCATTGACTCCAAGATGAACATGGGGAGGCAGTTAGGAAGGCCAACCATACCTTGTCATGCATCCACAGATGCATCTCGAGCAGGTCCAGAGAGGTGATCCTCCCCCTTTGTGCGGCACTGGTCAGGCCACAGTTGGAGTACTGCGTCCAGTTCTGGGCGCTGCACTTCAAGAGGGATGTGGACAGCATGGAGAGGGTCCAGAGGAGGGCCACTCGCATGATCAGGGGACTGCAGGGCAGGCTCTATGAGGAGAGACTACGGGACCTGAACCTGTTCAGCCTCCACAAGAGAAGGCTGAGGGGGGATCTTGTGGCCTGTTACAAACTGGTCAGGGGGGATCAGCAGGCATTGGGGGAGTTACTGTTCCCCTGAGCACAGCCAGGAGTGACCAGGAACAATGGTCACAAGCTGGCAGAGGGTAGATTTAGGTTAGACATCAGAAGGCGCTGTTTCACAGTCAGGGTGGCTAGGGTCTGGAACCAACTTCCAAGGGAGGTGGTGCAGGCTCCTACCCTGGGGGTTTTTAAGAAGAGGTTAGATGAACACCTTGCTGGGGTTGTTTGACCCCAGTACTCTTTCCTGCCATGGCGGGGGGTTGGACTAGATGATCTTCTCAGGTCCCTTCTGACCCTAGAAACTATGAAACTATGAAACAACATACATTTTGAGTCTGGAATGTCTTCTACAAGGAGCCTGTGAAGTGCCACTGATGCCAAGAATTGGTATGATGTGTTTGGGATCCGTTCAAAAGGCTTGTAAGAGATGTTGCAGCTTGAAATAACAAGTGCATCATTGAAAAGAAAAAGACTGAGATCACTGACATGTTCATAGAGTCTGTAAAAGAAGAAAAAAAAAGTAGGATTACTGTAAACTCTGAAAGACACAAATCTGTCAAGGCCTCTAAGAAAGGGCATGAATATTTCTGATGCATCTAAGAAATACATTTGAAGAATACATGAAGTTTCTTGTTTTGGGGGCATAGGAGTTTAAGTGCAAATAATAGAAAAGGAGCCATAACATTAAGAAAAGGACCTGAGCTTGGACAAGAAACTGGGGATGATTAGATAATTTTTCCATGTTTTGTATTTGCATGTAGAGCTACAGTTCAAACTTTGGGTTTTAGTGACCCTGGAATACACGTGTTTTGTTATCCAGCTTGGTTATAAGGATCCCTAAAGCTGAAGCTATAGTTTGGGATGCATCTATTTACACAATAGCCATTGGGTTCAGACATTTTAATGTACTTTTTTTTCCTTTCAATTCAGCTTTATCTTATTTCCTAGCAACTTACAGATAAACTGTGAATGCCTTATTGTGTATGCCTGAACTGCTATTTAGGGTTAACTATGAGTTGTCCTCAACTTGTACAAGCTGCATGAGCAGTCCCTTCCTGTGTTGTATCTAAATGAGTAGCTGCTGTGAATTGTGTTTTACTGTTCCTCCAACAGAGTCCTAGGAATCAGGCTGCCTGCTACCTGCACTTGGCTGTTATAGACTGTGGAAACTGGAAGTGGTGTAGAAAAGGGCCAAAAATCAGGAAGAGGAGGTTATGGAATTGCTGTAGTGGACTTCCTGTGCTTACAGTGTGCAGTACCAATTTGAGTCCTAAACACTGCAGGAGGCCACCCAGCAGGGAGCTAGACTTCAGGCCCTTCGACTGAAGAGAGCTTCCAGTCTTGATGATCAGTTTGCAGGGACTTGAAGGCAGCCCTAAGCTCAATGGTTCTCAACCTTTTTAGACTAAACGCACTCCTCAGAAAATGCCAGCTCTAAGCTTTCACTGTTTTGTTTTGTTTTGTTTTGTTTTAAACTATGGAAAAATAATACAGCAATTGTGTTGCAAAGAACTCAGGACCATAACAGGTCAGAATTTTTGACACTATAAATTCACATTTGAAATCTAGTTTTATCTTGTGAATCATCTGTAGATATTTGTGAGCCTAACAGTGCTAATCGTGTGTCGCACCCTTAAAAGGATCTTGTGGAAATTTGGTTGAGCATCACGGTTTTAGGTTGACTCTGAGAAACAAGGTAGATACAGCTACAGAGAGAGAGAACGTTTAACATATGGAGAAGTGGCTTCTATTTTTACTTCTAGTTTAGAGAATTTAAAACATTAAAGTACTCTAATTGATGTTATTAATAGTTCCAACTAGTAGTAGTGCAACCACAATTCTATTGAAAAAGGCAAAGGACAACTTAAGTTCTACTTCCTCACTATTAATAGTACTGAAATGTTAGTTCTTCTAGTCTTTGCATAATTAGTATAGGTGACTGGTGGGGGAAGGCACAGAGCAGCACATGCCCGCCTCCCCCTCGGCATGGTTGTCCCTGCCGGCGGCATCTGTGGGTGCCCCCCCCAGACTCAGGAGGCACCAGTTGCCCATGATAATTAGCATATTACAAGTGTGCAAAAGTTGGCTTAAGAGAATTAACTTGTAGTAATAAATACCTCGTTCTATCCAATACATTCTCTCTCTTTAATTTCAGTGTATATTTTATGGCACCTCAGTTCTAGCAGTAAACTACTTAAACTGTTTTCCTCCCTCACCTGTAGCCAACTCTGAATCTTCCTTTGTATTCCTTTTATTTGCACCCTAGTCTTAAATGTTGCAATATAAAAGAGTTGTGAACAGGAAAGCAATTCTTAAATTTTATACCGTCGGCCATAGCTGGAATATTGTGCATGTAACAATTCAGTAGAAGTTGGTTTGTAAGGGAGGGGCTTAAAGCAAAACTAAAATATCAGCAGAGGAAATGTAGAAAATGACTCCTGAAATAAAGTGGGTTTTGGACACATTTTCTTTTTTTAGCTTTTACAGCTGATCCAGAGCTAACACATTCTGGTTCCTCTACCAGAGATGAACAACTGAATCTAGCAACATGATCACACCTGAATAGTGTGCTGGTATCGCACAGATCAGTTGATTACAATCCCCACAGCCGAGAAATGAAGGAGAATCTGTCAAGGTAGGCATACTAACAGTAAAAACTTGAAGTTAGTTGAATCTTTAATTATTGTGGCCTTGCAGCTATGTATATATTCTACACTGTGTATGAAACTGGTCATTTTCTCACACATTAGTTCAGTGCTGCCATATTTCCTTCATTAGGAGGAAACAAGGAAAATTTGCTGCGCTTCCACCCTTTCCACACATCTGTCTCTAGGGGCCCCTCTAGACATTCAGGTGAAGGCATGGTAGCATCTGATGCACTGTCTGCACAATCACGCCTCCTGCCATGCCACACGTGCATGACAGGAGGCATGATTGTGGGATGCAGCGTCACATCCTATCGCACCTTACTACTGGTAGAGAGGGAGCCTTGGATTGCCATTCTGGGCTCCCCTTGTACCAGCAAGTAACAAGGTCCTGTAGCTGCAAGTCCCATAGCTGACAGGACTTGCAGCCGTGGCAGCACCCCACAGTTGCCAGGACTGAGAGTCCCACTGTTGTAGTCTCTCCCTCCCAGCAGTGCCCCATGGCCACTGGGACAGGAAGTCCAACAGCTAATGGGACTCTTCCCCCTGGCAGCACCCCACATTTAAGGACTCTGAGTCCTAGCAGTGCCCCCACAGTACTGCCAGGACCCAGAGGCCACAGCTGTGGGGTACTGCCAGGAGAATAGAGTCCTGCCAGCTGTGGGATTCTCCATCTCAGCAGCCATGGGGAACTGCTGGGGTTGATAGTCCCCTCCGCTGCAGGATTCCTAGTCCCAGCTGCACCAAACCCTGCTACAAGTGAAAATTAAAGATGGATACAAACAAGCTATAAAGTTATTACACATTTTCCAGCTATAACTTTATAGCTGGTTGGACCTTTTTATGGCATGATAATTAATTTGCACATGTAGCTGGTCTAAATTAATAGTGCAATTAACCCAGTAATTGCATGATACATATAACCTGTAGAGGGGGCCTGAAATGCCCATAGTTACTCATAGGTAATCATCACTTAACATCTATATCTTCCCTTCCTTCCACCCAAAATGTCTCTGTCAATGTGACCTAAGGAAAACTTCCTACCTCCAAATTAGCAACCAGTCGCTTGAGGCCTTTTTATTTACCACTCGCCAATATTTTTATGATCTGTTTACCTGAGTGAGAGATGAATTTCCTCAGAACTGCAGCTAACCTGGGCTACATCTTGTACTTTGATCAGGTATCTGTTGGCTTCTAATAAATTCTGTGAATTAAATATTACAGGATTAAAAAGAAATTCAAACCAAACTTTGGATTTAGAGCTTGTCCTGATGCGTTTAATTTTTTCACACACACTAGATAATTAGAAAATAGCTATTAGTCTTTAGCTTTTTATTAATTGGACCTGATCTTTGGACAAATTTTGTTTCTAATAACTCATTTTAATATATTCAGGAATACTTTGGTTATTAATCAGATAGGGAAAAAAAATTTTCTGTGGACAGATTTTTTCCTGAAACACATCTCAAATAACAGAAGTATTAGATGCTGCCGTGGCTTAGTTAAATACAGTAGGCTTATGCTTTTTAGCATATTTAATTAAATCACAAATTTAATTTGTAGGGCTAGTTGAAAATTTTCCTCCAAACTGTTTTTCACAGAAATAAGATGTATGACTAAGCAAAATGTTTAGTGGAAAGTTTCTGCTTTCTGCAGAAAATCCTGATTTGATTGTGTCAAAAAACAAACAAAACACACACCCTTTTCTGAAACTGAAATGTTTCATCGTTCTTTCTTCCATCATCTGGTCTCAGAGCCAAATTACCCAAAAATTCATGATGGCCAAAAAAAGGGAAAATATAACCCATGAATTTTCATTCTAGTACTCTCCATGAAGCCCTTCTCGACTAAGGTGTTAGACTTCTGACTTTTAGAAATGTTTATTCCAGGGAGGGTGACAAATGGGGGGGCAGTAAAGACACTACAGTTTGGCCCACAGGTCTGGACCTCAAGGACAAAGCCTGGGCTTATGATCTGCAAGGCCTACCCGCACAGTCTAGAGGAGGAACTATAGAAAAGCAGCAGAGCAGAACTTCCAACTACATCTGTAAGCAACACGGAAGGTTTTCTGCCCCGTTAGTAGTTATCTATACACCACAATTCTGAAAAAATTGGAGGAAAGGAAATGGAGGCATGAGTTTGCTTGTCCACAGCATTAGACAGATTATAACCCATTTCTCCCTCTTGGGCCATATCTTGAGTCATGTAATAGTCAAAAAGATTTCCCCCTGCATGGGAGAATTTTTATATACAGAGTAGCTGCAATTGCTAGCTGGAAATGAAGCAAGATGGTATTCCCACAGGACACCAGTGTGCATAGTGGTTTTGTCAGAAACATTATCTTTAGAAAGATCTACTACTGTTTAGCAAATCAGATGGCAAATGACCTGTCTCGCTTTTGAAGTAAAGGTAGTTTGAAACAATAACTTAGATACTGAATGTTTGTGGCCAACAATCAGATCCTTCCCTCATGAAGAAAGGGATCCACCCAGACTTGAGAAATTGTCGCTCTGGTTATCAAGGTTAGAAAGACTAATCTGCAATTCTTTGGGTCTTCCCATGTTCCCTTTTTTAAAAGGCAAGCACTGTTTTTGCCCTTTTCCAGTCTCTCACTTGACCTCCATGAGTTTTCAAAGGTTATAGTCTTTGGCTCTTAAATTACTTCAGACAATTCCTTAAGTTCTTTAGGATAAATCCTGTCAAGCCCTGGTAAACTTCCAACTAGTTTAAATAATCTGACCTGTTTTTTTCTATGCAAGATTTATCATCTGTATGGTTGCTCTTAACTGTACCTGTCTTCAGATACAAGGTAGTTATAGCCATGTTAGTCTAAAGTCAGACTTAAGTCCATTCATAACATCTGACAAAGTAGGCTGTCACCTAATTAGTAAGCATCTCTGAAAAAGTTAGTCTCTAAGCATTTATACATGTGTTCTGAGAGTGGGGGCGGGGGGTGCTTTTAAACAGAGCAGCTCTGAGAGCTGCTCTAATTATGGAGCTAGTTAAAGCTCCCGGAGCGTCTCGCGCATCAGTGTTCCTGTGCTGAAAAACGGCAGCAGGTTTGCTTTAGTTAAAGCGCCCTCACTGCCATTTTTCAGTGCAGGGACGCTGATACACTTTACGCTAGAGTGCAGTAATTACCACACTCTAGCAGTCTCGATTAATCAAACCTGCTCCGACATGCTGTAATTACAGCGCATCGGGGAAGCTGTGCTGCACGCGTATAGGCATCCTAAGGTGCCACCCTGCCCTGATTTCTGCCTGACATCTGATAACTGATCTTTTTTGTTATGGCCGAAGAAAAAGACATTAAACGTTTTAGCCTTTTCTGTTTCATCCACTCTTAACTTCCACTCCCCATTCAGTAGAGGACCTAATCTCTTCCCTGGAGCAGCAGAGTTCAGTATGAGTCCCCTTGAAGGAAGGAAGTTGGGGGAAAGGAGATAAAACAATCCACCCTTGGATGCTGGAGGACTTGGCTAAACACTTTCACTCAGTGTAACATGACATACATCCAAATTAAAGCACAATACAAACAAACTACGAAGAGATTCCACATTTAACGAGGAACATCTTTGGGGCTGAATCATTTTTTTTTTGCAGCCTCCTACCAAGTGATACATTTTTGAATAGTGTGGCGTGTAACAATTTATTGTTCCATGAACATATTAATAGCAACCTAAATGTAACATCCGCCAAGGGCTTTATAGAATACTTTTTTATTGCTTTTTATGTCTGTTGCTAGTTGTATCTCAATTTGGGCCTTGACCATCCTTATTTTTTTTCTCCCTACATGCCTGTGCTATTCTCACTCATCCTTAGTAATGTAGCCAAGTTCCCACTTCTTGTGAGATTCCTTTCTAAGATTGCCCCAAAACATGGAAGTTTTGAGCATACAGTTATTTGAATCATCTGTCCTGAAAAAGCTACAAAGTGGTTGGGGAAATCTAATTTAAAATAGATTTTAAGTACAGGACTTTTGAGAGGGTTTGAATATATTCACATTAGCCTTACACGTACCAAGAAACTGTGCAGCTCAGGACTAAGGTTGCTGTATCCAGGTTCCAGGCTGAATGATCTTCCCCTGACTATGCATGGCAGGAATACTTCCTTGGTCCTTTACTGTGCAGGTAAAACTTTCAGTCTTTCCATGAAAGTCGGTTTTAATAGAGAAATCACACACTTACGAACCAGGTAAGGAAGAACTGCACAACTTTTTCAACTTTGCAGGTATCTTTTTTTTAATTTTCTAAATCAATAAGTACTGATGAATTTCATGAAACCCAGTCATGCTTTATTCTGAGATGCTTAGTTGAGTCTCAGTTATCTCACTCAAACTTTCAGCTTTAGATCTCCTTATCTTTAGAGGACCTAGAAGACAAGTTTCCTTTTCATGGAATACATATTTTACATTCTCTCTAAGAAGGAAGGGGAGATGCCTGGAAATGGGAAGGGAAGAGGTGATCAGTTCACCTGTCAGGGAAGCATGTCTGAACCTTGAGTGAGATTTTACCCTCATGCTTGCTGCCCCTGGCTGATTGGGGACTGACAGACCATACAAAAAAATGAGAAAGAGAGAGAGACTTCAGACACAAATGCCTCATTGTTTTCTGCTGGAACTTTTCATGGTAGGTGAGGCCTCTCAGGTAAAACAGTTGACAAGGGGGAATTTCTTTGTAGCCTTCTCAGCCATTGCAATAAAGACCTCACTTTCTGTGCTGGCTGGAAGCAAGCACTTCCTTTCCCTGGTTGTTGTGTTCCCTTTTTTCTTGTGTATTCTGCAAACTATGGGAATAAGTGTCTGAAGCCTAGGGGAGGAAAGGGACTTTGAAAAATTTAACCCCAAGCCAGACCGCTTATTTTTTTGGCATGCTGTCAGTGAAGGGTGCTTCAAGAAGGGCCTGAAGACCATGTTGGCTGAGAGCTGCATTTCCTGCAGCCTGCTCAACTATCTCAGTGGTCCTTACCCACCCTCTGACCGGGAGCCTATTCTGTCCCCCAGTGCTGAAGGCAGAGACTGAGAGATGCTGTCCTTCAAGCCCTTCTCAGAAAGCCAGAAAAACTTTGAATTTAGGGCTTTTTAGGCTGAAGGAGAAAAACATTGAAGCCAGAGGAGAAAATACCTTTATCCAGAACTTTTAGAAATCCTATGATCATTCTGTCCCAAAGGGAGCTGTGATCTCTGCCTTGTTCACTGCCGGGAGACAGAACTTTAGGGAGATCTTCCTGAAGGGCAGCCCTCAGAGCAAAGATGTGGTCTGCCTCCAACAGTTACATTCATTGTGAAGACTGTCTGACAGCAAGAGTTGCAAATTAGAGGCCTCAGGCTCTTCCATCTTCTCCTGCATAACCAGCTTTCAGAAGGTCTGCTGGCCCAGCTTCTCCTAATGTTCTCACACTTCCTACTTCTTTGCTTTGTCCTCATGACCATGCTGTAAGGAATTTGAGAACTTTGAATATGGTTTGTGAAAAGTACTTAACAGAATACCTCTGGCCCCATACTCATAAGGATTTATTAATGGCATGACTCAGAAGCCCTGTCCAGTGTCAAGTTCTGAACAAGAGGACCATGTCCTTCTATCCAGAAATGTCTGTTGAGACAAAACACATCTGGAGCTTTTATATTTTTATTCTCTTCTGATTTTCAGGAAGTCGAGGGGATTTTATCCTATTTTCTTCTTAGTATGTGGGTCTGCACAAATTAGTTACAGATGGAGATTGTCAACCCCCATCCTGAATGCCTGTGCTCAAAAAATCTGAAGAACACCTACTTTCCTAATTTCCTGATTGATCCTATGGCAACTATATCATTTTCCTGGAAAGTATATCTCCTGCTATACTTATAAATAGTTCATGGAAGGTTAACACAGTCAATACTTGTCTTATACAGTATAGCTTCCTTCTATTGGTCTGGAAAGCATCAACACTTTCATTTCTACCTCCTAACTTTTAGGTCAGCCACATTCCCTAGAGAAAGTTTACCAAATTCTTAGTGGCCCCTATGTGCCAGATAAGAGCACCGTTTTTCTCTCACTTAGATGTCAGAGACAAGTTCTTCATTCATCTTCATGGTGACCAAGACCAGAGAGAGGGTTAATATTTGATCAAGCTGGAAAACTCCTGGTGTAATGGCATCATGTGATCTCTCCGTATGAATGTATTAATCACTGTATCTGAACACATTGGCTTCTCCTACCCTTAGTCATAGAATAATTTACAACAAAATTTAAAGTAAAGTTCTGTATTTCCTAGATTCTGTGTAGTGCTGCTGAAGTCTGAGAACTGGCTTGCTTTGCAGGATGCCAAAAGATGCCAGTCAGCAAAGGACAAAAAATGTTTGCAAGGAAAGGAAAGTTGCCAGTAAAGCTGCATTTACACTGTAAACAAGCTTCTCTCCTAAATGGCACCCTCAGATATACTGTACCTATCGAAATGAACCATCTTTTAAGCTGTAAGCAGGATAGCTGCACCCACATGGCACAGGAAACTGTGTTAATCAGCCCGCTTAAAGCATGACTTAGTTTTGGTTTTAGGCAGCAACCCATCTATGTCTATCATAACACAGCATGAACACACCACTGCAGAAAATGGCACTGCAAGTTTTATTCTGTAGGTATCACCTTAATTCTGTTTCCAATATTTTTATCTTCTTCCACAGCTTCACCACAGAAGAGTTGATAACTGTGGCTTTGGCATTCCTTTTCTTTATTATCTCTTAGCTATGCTAGACTGCAGCATTAAATAAAGGTTTGGCTGAAGAAAAGAAGAGAATGTTTCTGCTTTTCTCTCTCAGCTAGGTGGAGCTATACTGCAGGCTCTCTTTTAGCCTTAGGGTAAATTATGACAAAAAGCTTTAGCAGAAAGTAATTTTTTTTTTTTTTATGTGTAAACAAAGGTTGATTAGGATCTTGTGAGAATCTTTGTAATAACCCTCTAGTCACATATCTGTATTTTGCTGAAATGTCAGAATTCAGCATTTGGGTCATTTAAGTATTTTGTGTTTTATGGTTCCCTCTGAGCCCCTTCTATAGAGGGATACACAAATCAATCAAAGGACTCAAAATATTCTCACCAAAATTTAAAAAAAAACTTCCTTGAAATCTGTACACTATAGTGTTATTTTACAAGTATTTTACCACTTCTTAAATTTTATTTATAAATTTTTATAGTCTTTACCTCTATAAAGCCAGTTTTTTTTAGATTCGGAACCTCTGAAAATGCCCCAGTTTAAACACTCATTTGGAAGCAGATTGTGCATACAGGTGAAATTCTCACCCCAGTAAAATCAATGTTTTTGCTATTAACTTAATTTGAGTCAACAATGAAAAAAACACACAAGGCTTATGCTGGAAGAGCTATAACACTGAACAGCAGCACTGCAAGTGCTACCTTGAAACAGAGTTAAAAATACAATCCAATAAAATAATTTACCTTTAAAAAGATGGAAATACTTACAGGGCATCCCTGGATGATTCTTTGTGCATTTAGCATTTGCTCATCCCTGCTGATGTTCAGCTGTAGCTGGAAAATAAAGTAATTTTAAAGAACAAGTAATTTAATTCTGATTTGGCTGGGAGAAGAATGTGTGCTGTACAAAGACCCTCATCCAACTCGTGCTTAAATTGGTACGGTCCCATATATTTTAATAGGCTCTGAGTGGGAATCCGATTCATGTGTGGGCAATTCTAGGTAGTTTGATATAGGAGTTAGTGTCGTTAAACTACATTTGGTGCTGAAAGTTTGGATTAAGAAAATTACTTATGTTTCAGATTCTCAAGGAAAAATAAGCCAAGGATTTGACAAGCCTAATGTTTTGTATTCCTTGGCAGTGTGTGTAGATATTTGTGGAGCTTTTCTACAGGATAAACAAACCAGCTGCGAGGTATTTTCTTATGCCTGATAACCTATCTGAGCTTCTATTTTCACAAAATATAGAAGGCAAAGAGAATATTTAGTTGTCAGTGGAGTTAAACACGTTGTTCAGTTCAGAACAGCTGGAGTCCAGTGTCCCATAACCCTGACCGAAGCACTACTCCATCTAGGAAACCTCTCTCTACTGATGTTATTCCTGGGGTCTGTTTGTCCATTTTATGATCCTTTTATACTGCTGCATCAAAGTATTTAATAAAGGACAGCCACTAAGAACTATTAAGGAAACTTGGTTGACAGGACTGCTGTCTCCCCTGCTCTGGCATTTGGATTAGAGAGGGAAGCAGTTCTCCCCATTGAGGACTGGGTGAGGAAGGCAGCTTATGTCCTATCTCCTCGTGACACTTCCTGGCTTCTTGTGTTGACTTCATAAGACAAGAAGAGAACACGGACTTCTGAGATGACAGACCTGATCCACATAGTCCTTGTACTGTTTCATCTTCTTGATTGCAGCTGTCAAGTTTTCCCGGTCAGCATGGTCTGGTGGTGTGTGAAGTCTCAGAGCATAAAGAAGGTTAATATACTCCTCAAATCTTCTAGAAGGGCATAAGAGCAGTTCCTGTAAGCTACATTACATACACACAATCCATAAATTAGCTGGGACCATGATTAATTCAGTAGTGGTTGCAGAGTGTTTTTATATAGAGAGCATGTGATTCTCATAAGGGGTCTAGTTTCAATCCCAGAATCTGATTTTTGTGCCCTGACACCGTGCAAATGTGCTGCAGAACTTACCTCCTCATGTTAGTAGCAATTGTCTTATCGTGTCTTTTCAAGAAGGCCCAAAATAAAGGAATAGTTTGTCTGCACTGTGAAAAGTAAAAATGTGACTGTAAATAGAACTGGATTAACAGATATCAATTTGCTGGAGACTTTGCTACTTTAAATTATGCTATCAAAATTACTCTTATTAAAGGCAGGGTCTATAAATGTAGTATAGGATAAATATATATAGTATTTCCTATAAATATAGTATAGTACAATTACTGTACTACAAATGTACCTTTAAAGGCATATGTGGCCTATCAAGATGAGTAAACCTAAAGTTTAACATGTACAGTACCTCTCCTCATATAATACTTTTTTTTTCTTTTTACTAACAAACCTTCAGAACAGGGACTCCAAGTGTTGAAGTCCAGCTGGTTGTCGGTCCCAGCCCTAGGGACTGCACTGGGGAAAACTAAGTCATACAAGGAGAGGCTGAAAGAGTTGGACATGTTTGGCTTGCAGAAAAGATGCTTAAAAGGGGACATGATAGCAGTCTTCAAACACTTGAAGAGCTGCCATGAAGAAGAGGGAGAAAACCTCTCTTGCAGCAGAGAGCAGAACTCAAACCAGTGATTTTGAAGTTGCCGCAAAGTACATTTAAATTGGATATCAGGAAATAATTTTTTCATGGTTAGAATTTCTTTCAGACTGTCTAGGGAAGTTATAGACTCTCCATCAACCTCAAGAAGAGGTCGAACAGCCACTGGTTGGGGATGATCTGGGCATACCTATACCTATGTTCTACTATGGGTGTTTGCCATGCTTCTGGGTTTTGCTGGCTGTCCCTGCTTCCCTCCTTCCCCTTTCTGTTATAGGTGTCAGGGTGTTTTTAAGTCTTCCTCAGAGGCATTGAGTTTTGACTGCAACCAAAGCTAGAAATTTTGACTGGGGTGTGCCAGTTATCCTGGGACTTAAAGCCACATGTTCCTGGCTAGAGGGCCTTGCCCCTCTACTCAGGGTCAGACCGATCATGGTATTTGGGGTCAAGATGGAATTTTACCTCATGGTTGGATTGGTATAGACAGTGGGGGCATTTCCCTTCCTGTCTTGTGTAGGCATGGTCCTCTACCTGTGGTATCTTGTAGGGCTGTTCGGTCCCTGATTTGATTCAGCGGAGATGCAGCCTGATTCGGTGGCTGAATCTCTGGATCCACATCGAATCAGAGGACCCTTTAATCACTCCATATCGAATTGGAACCCTCCAAATTGATTTGGAGAGATTCAAAAAGATTCAGAGATTCGGACATATTCACAGCTTTAAATGTTTTTTCTACATACCTCTGGGTAGCGGGGGCTCATGAGTGCTGCGACCCTGGGGTGGATGGAGCATCCCATAGGAGCATGGGAGGCTCCCCAGCGCGCTCAGCAGCAGACCCGGAAGTGGACCAGAAGGCACTTCTAGTCCACTTACAGATCTGCTGGGGAGCACGCTGGGGGGCCCCCCCCATGCCACGCTGGCTGGGCGACTGGTGTCTCCTGGGCCTGGGCGGGGGGCACCTGGGGTCCCCCCGTGGCCAATCATTGAGCCAGGGGGATGCGGGGGGGGGCATCCAATGCACTCTCCAGCAGAACTGGAAATACTTCCAGTCCACTTCCGGGTTTGCCGCCAAGCACATGTAGGGTACCCCCGCACTCCTGTGGGACACTTCACCTGCCCCAGCATTGCAGCATTCATGAGCTGTGCTGGTACCTCGAGGTATTTAGAAAAAAAACATTTAGAGCTGTGTCTACGTCCAAATCACTGATTCTCCAAATCATCATTTGAATCTTCAGATTTGGAATCAACTAATCGAATCACTGTCACTGATTCAGGCCAAATCCGAATAGAATAGGGCTCGCTTCGCGTACCCCCAGTATCTTGAGCATGCATAAATATCCTTTTTACAGAAGCAGAACAATGGCTGTTTTGGTTCCCCTGCTTTTCTGTGCCAGTTTAGTGTGTTATGTCTTGTGTTGTGTTGGGGCTGAGAGTTTAGATAATGGATTTGTATAGGATGGTTTGGATCAGGATGATCCTGCCTCGGGCAGGGGGTTGGACTAGATGAACTTTCAACCCTGCTTCTCCATGATTCTGGTGGAACAGATTCTGTGGAATGAAGGATTAATTATGCTCTACTCAATTCTTCTTTAGGTTGAAGGAGTAGTTGTTTACATTTTCAGCAAAATATATTAAGATTGGGGCTACATAATGCATGTTCACAGTTGTTACAGTACTTACTTTATCAATGGTTTTCAGAACGACAGTGTAGTTGTTGAAGAAGTTGGTGTATGTTTGCAACTGCAGGCCAAATTTAATAAATATGTCACCCAGGCACTGGGCTGGACTCCATTCTTCAAGTCTTTCTGTCAGGTCATCTAAAATCTCCCTACATTTAAAAGAAGAGGACAAAGATCTCTTTTTTTTTACTAGCAATACCCTGGCCACATTACTGTTTAGATATATAACTATGTCCTTCCTAATTTAAAAATAGTTCTCAGTTCTTTTAACTGGTGTCCATTATTCCAGATCCTATATTTCATTCTACTTAGCAGCACCCCAATGGCTGAAGTAATTTTTGTGTATTGAATAAAGTTCTTCAGGATTATTCTAGATGAAAGCCAGTTTATAAGTATAAATTCTCTCTCATTAAACCTTACCTATATGGGTAACTTGGAAATGGAACTTCAGTACTTAGGAAGAGAAACATACATGCAATTTCTTCCATAAATTTTATATAATTTAAAGATGTTAGCTGTAGAAATCTTTCAAAGCAATAACAAAAGGCTGATTTGTATAAGTTACCCAAATAGAGGTTTCCAAGTAGGTACTGTTGCACCAATGAATGACAGAAGTTAAGCACCAGATTGGATTCTATTTCTAGTCAACTGAGTTGCACCTTTTAAAGACTTATATGTATTCAATCTTGTCTAAATTCCTAGCATACAGTTATTAACAGAAATTTTTATAACTGTATCTCTGAACATCTCATGAACATGAGCGAACATTTTCAATTGAAGATCATAAAACTTATATTAGTATTCTTCCTTCATTCTACCAGTTCAGTTTTTTTTTCCTTTTTTATTAATACCTCCCTCTACTCAGGTGTTTAATAAACACACGTCAGGGATGAAAGCTCCATTTGTCTGCTGTTTTTAGTAGCTTTGTTCTTAGGTCTTTTAGATGTTAGTTGTGAAAGGATTTAAAATACTTTTAACTATTTTGGGCTTCCAAGTCTCTGGGTTTACATTCTTACTTCTATTATGGTAACAGTTTGCTTCCTAAATTCATAGTTTCCTTGAAGTCTATTCCAAATCATCTTGGAAGGAAGACACTAAGAGGAATAGTGACTTAATGTGTCTCAGTCTTTTAATTTCTATTTGTAAACTTGCAGTGGCCATAGAAACTGGGTTTTTTTAAAAGGGGAAAAAAGTACTCCTGCAGTTGGATATGAACCAGAACCATGGATCTGAGTGCATATCCCATACTAGATCTTCATATTTCTGTTGTAACCCCCCCCCCCCCCCAATTATAGAATATGATATTAATGAGCTT